TATATATATATACATATATATATATACATATATATATAAATAAATAGTAGGTATACAAATGGAGAAAACTTTTACCGTATACCAACAGAGGTCACACTAACATGTTTCCCATCAGTCATGTGATACTGGGATCCACAAAATGGATTCAGTATCATAGTAGATCTTCATTTTCAGAGAATTGGCCCCAATTCCTATGTATCTATAATGCCTATTTTTATTTATTTTTCTTTTTTAACAAATGAACACAGTCTGAACTACAGAAGTATCCAGGGTGATTATCATTCCTTTAAGCCTGAATGTAAGACATCAGATGAAGCAGTAAACACATTTTCCATGATTCCTCTCCTTCACACATATTCCTATATGAAAATGCATCTAAGACAAAACTAGCCAAAACTAGTTATCAAAATAACCATTTTAAGAACAGTCTGCTGAAACTTTAAGTATCCTGGTACATGCTTTATTTCCTATGGGAGAACTGAAGATGAAAAATAAAAAATGTTTAGAACTTCTATTTGAAAGAAAGCATCAACATTTGGAAAGATTATATCTCAAAATCCTGCTGGTTACTGTTTTTCAGTAATTAAATCTTGGTATCCTCTCTAGAAAACTCTTGACCAACTGCATTCTATATTTATTATCCATTACTACCCATTACATTTTGTTTTTAAATGCAAGCTCTTCCAGTGAATCACTACATTCTTACTATACTTCAACTGCACAAAAGCTTTAGAAAAAAATTCCACAGAAGCATAGAAAGCAAGCAACATATGCAAAATATTTTTTTTTACTAAATCAGCATAACAGACTAAAGCTGCAATATCTGCTTTCATATTACATTTGGCAAAAACAAAACAAAAAGCACCCAAAAAACCCAAAGTAACAAAAGTCCCAAGGAAGTAAGGATGACAAACTTTGTAACAACACAAAAGAAAAATTCAACACCTGTTCGCTCAGTGATTGCTGTTGTCAATCTGGGCATGCAGCAAATCTGTAGTTAGAACTGTGATGGAAGTGAAACTATTTCAAGAATCTGGACAGTACAGGCAGTTCCCGGATTACGAACGATTTCCTTTCCTAAGTCTGTCTCTAAGTCGAATTTGTATGTAAGTGGGAACAGTTAGGTACCCTTCGTATCTAACGTCACTTAGTCAAATGTTTGTCTTAGTATATCGTATATAGTGTACCTTTCTATGCATAAAAAACATTAAAGAAACACTTCTGGATACACTAAAATATCTTTAACATTGTAACACAGTAATAATAATAATGTTTTGATGTGCGTTGCAAAGTAGCACCCATTTGTTATTATGAACCATTGTAGGTACCTCGAATTTTTAATATAATGGGCTTTACAGGGTTGGTTCATAACCACGGGTTGCATGTAAACTGGATGTTTTTAAGCCGGGGAATGCCTGTATCCTAGTTAACACTAATTCAAAAACTAAGAGGAAAGAAAATAACACAATGAGACACCACACATACATAAACATGAAATGTTAGCTTACATAGTTAGAAAAAAGTTAAAAATAAATTAGTAAAAATAAATTCCCAGTAGAAACCCAAAAAGCATAGCTATAAATGCATTCTGAAACAATCAGTTTAGTGAGCTGGTCATGTTTTTGCCAGAAAACCTCTTTCATTCTTATTCTTACACAAGCAAATAACTGGAGAAGCAGGTCAAAGTACATCAGAAGAGAGTTTAAACGTGGTTGTATCTGTGGTATTTTAGATTCAACTTTTCCCCAATCACTTCAAAGCTTAAACAAACTGCCTGTTACACAGATTCAGATGGGCCAAACAAGTCGTCTGACATGCTGCTGAATGGCTGAGAGTCTATTAGTTGGGTTATTTCATTGTCAAGGTCTTCTTCTGTATCATCTGTGTACTTGATTACTTTTTTAGAGTGCTGGTCTAAAGACAAAGACTTTCTAGAGATTCGATATTGTCAATGCCTGCTCTGTAGTGGATCCTAAGAAGTGTTAGAGCTTGCAGTCTTTCACCTGATTTAGCCAAAGCAGCAGAAAGAAGTGATTTTTTCCTTGTATCATTTGTCTCTTTCTCTTCTCTAACAAGGGAATTATTATGTTCCAACTCCTGATCAATTTCATTTTGTAGTTTATCCAACATAAACTCTAATTTCTGGATTCTTTCCTCAGTAGGCAAGCCCCTACACAGATCACGACCAATTTCTTTAACTGCAATGAAGACACTGTCATCCACACCACCCTTCTTTCTTACTAACTTTGTTCCTGTGTTGTTTCCCCGTTTAGAAGGACTGTTTGGACCACACACCTCTGTGTCACTGCCTTCATTGTCTGACGTGTTGGGTGTGTGTTTTGGTGAAGGTTCTACTAGGTCAGTTCCTGGTTCAACAAGGCGAGTTTTAGAGACTTGACGCAAATTTAACAAACGAGAGCTAGTGTTGATAATGTGCCTTGTCAAACCTGTTGTTTTATTGACTGACTTGCTAGCGTCGGCATCAACTCGAGGAGGCAAGCCTAAGAGGGTTTCCTGTCCTTCCAGCCGGAGGTTTTTCAGGGTTCGGTCCATTCGCTTATCAGCTGCTCCACAAAGAGGAGTCTCGGCTAGACACTTTTCCTGACATTTTTTATGGCAAACATAAGCACAAAACATACACTGGGAAGCAGCCTTAGTCCAAACTTTTTTCTTGCAGTAATCACACCAAGTTGGGTTCTGGAACTGAGTATCCTGGAAACTATGTTTATTTTCTGTTAAACCCACCTGTCCAACAAAATGCTCCTCTTTAGGTAGGACAGAAACCTCTTCCACCAAATGAAGTTCTTTGTCTTTCTCTAAGTTAGTAGCTATATGGTGGTCTGGTTCTCCTTCTTTCAAATATTTGAAGTGAATAGTAATGTCACCAAAGCAAAATTTGTCATTGAATCCCTTCTGTATACTCAGATTGCGAAGGGCGGTTCTAGTGACCACTGCCTTAGGGGACGGGGCTTCCAGTCTGAATTTTGAAAGGTATTCCATGTTTGAAGTAGCTAAGCATCCCAAAGCCACCTCTTCAAGTTTTAAACTAACATGCCCCAAACAGATGAGGCCCCCCAACTTGAAAGGATCCCTGCACCACAGTGCAACATTTAAGTACCTGTGGCAGGCTTCTATGTCAAAGACACAGGTTGCTCTGGTTCTCGTCCATTTTCCTAGCTTATTACGATAAGGAATTTCTGATGATTCCCACGTTTGAGGGTCATCTGAATTGTCCTTAGTAGGGCAGGGACTTTCTGAAGTAAAATCTTTAGCCACTTCTTGCTTTACTAAAGACTGCTTAGATGCACTTGCATCTTCTATGTGATCCACATTTTTTGCTTGCTTCTCAGCCACTTTATCTGCAGGAAGAGAAGGCAGCACCTTCTCTGGCTTTTCAACAAGAGCATCTGGTTCTACCTGATTTGGGGCATCAACAGAAGGCAAAGGAAGTTTCACTTGGGGTCGTGGTGGCACAGGGGGTTTGAAAGTAGATCCTTGGGTGGGCTTTGACACCTGTGCTGGATCTGTTGTCTCAGAAGTTTTTAGGGCTATGGGTTTATTTCCTTCTTTGGATGGAAGTTTTGGTAGTGGTGGGTGACTTCCTACAACTAATTTACGGTTTAAAACTGGTGATAGAGTCCCAAGGGGTTTCCCAGGAAGTGCTGCTGGAGTACGTTTAGGACTGTGACTCAGTGACTGTGCGTCATCTTTGAACTCATTTGGTGCTCTGACATCACTTGCCAGCTCTTCAAATTCAGAATCTAGGTCTCTATTTTCAGCATCCACTGCCAACCCAGCGGCTTCCTCTTCATAATTTGGTTGGCATGAACTTGAGAGAAAGTTTTCCTCCAACTGTCCAAAATTATCTTGCAGCACTGCACCTTGATTACTCTGGCCAACAGGCCTTTCATAATACACCAGGACTCGGTCACCAGCCTGCTTGATAAGCTTCAGCACTTGGAGTGTGGATGTGATCTTCACACCTATATTTTTAAAAGGGAAAACATGTAAATTACCACAATAAAAATAACTCATATTTGCTTAAATACAGTTGACATTACCTCATAATTATCTAACTAATGAAAATGTAATAGGAAAACCTTAAAACTATTTTACTTGGCTTTAGGATACGTCGGCATGTGGATTCTCAAACCCTGAATGTGCTGATATCCTGGAAATGTTTACCCTTTCAAATCAAATGATGACATAAAAACCCTACAAGGGTGCCAAGCTGCTAACTAATTGCTTTCCATTCTTTCCTGGGTTAAATGACATTATTTCTCTGTCAAAATTATTGTATATCCATATAAATAAATCAATTGTAGCTATTAACTTTTTTTTTTTTTTTTGGATACTTGTTGATGTGGGGAAAAGTCTGTAACAAATTAAAAGAAAGAAAGACAATTACAAAAAACACATAGGAGGATTTCAATCTTGTCTCCTGGAGTTGGGGCAGGGGAGGTATAGGAAAAAAGGCAAAGAGACATTAAAGTTTTTTTCTATTATGTTCCAATTTTTCTACAATGAATGTGCATTACATTTGGAAACAAATGCAGCCCATCCTTCACCCCAATAAATATTATTTTTTAAAAATGTGAGATGTGAAGGGGAAGACTTTTGCTTTTTTGCTCTGCAAACATTTATATTTCTTGGACTGATCCATCTATCTATCCATCTAATCTATATATCCATCTATCATCTAATAGGTATTATATGTGTCATTTAAAACAAAAACTCAAAAAAGGACATAAAAAAGAAAAAACTGAATTTTATCTTGTAGTTAAAACCAAAACAAGGTACTTGAGGATATAAAAATTTTATACTGAATTGTGTTTTCAGCTGATGGATGATAACTCATATTTATGCTAAACAGCTAACATAATGGATACGGTCTATTTCATGCCCTTGCTATCCTAAGTGTCTGTGGCCCAGCAGCGTAAGTATCATCTGAGAGCTTGCTGGAGATGCAAAATCTTGGCTCCCACCCCAGGTCCACCAAATCAGAATCTGCACTTTCACACCAAGTCCAGGTGATGGGAACACGCATGAAAGTTTGAGAAGTGCTGCTTAGGCCATCATCAGTGGGATTTCTACGTGAAAACGCTGACTTAGCTGGGCTCACAGGTTTGCAACTGAATCATTTTCATTATTTTATGGCAACTATGGATTTGAATCAAAGGCCAAAGTTCTTTGACACATAACAGAAGATAATCTTGGAACTGATCTACTTTGTTATGTACGTTATTTGTTGTCTTAGCTGTGGGAGAACGCACTAGTGTCCTTAAAAGACCAACTGTGACTGACCACATGTTCAAGAAATCTCTTGACACGTTTAGAATGGGTAGACTTGGACTTTTTCCCACTGGGGTACACAGTGAGTTCTACTCCTTATTCATACACCTCCAAGCAAATAATCTGCTTATCAACAGAGCATTTTTGTTGTCGCTGAGAACAATCCAACTGTCAGAAAGGCATGCAGGGGATATGCATTTCTTCACTAGTGCTAGTGATCTGGGCTGAATGCAGAATGAAAGCATACTAACAAATGGCTGGCCATTCAGGGACAGTATGGGGCCACAGGCTAGTTCAGGTGCTCTTTTGGACAAGGAATATTCTCCTCTTCGTTATCAAGTCCTAAGTGATGGCAGTAGTAGTGCTAATACTACCAATTTTAGGCTCAGAGTAGAAATGGTGGTTGTCGTACAGGAAGCTAACTGTTGACTTGCCCTTTCATATTCAATAAAAAAATAGAGGAGTAGAAGGTGGGAAGTGAAGAAAAATTAGGGAGGTTATATAGCAGTGGTTTAAAGATTTATACACCAAAAGCTTGTTGCCATCGAATTGATTCCAACTGACAGCAACCCTTTAGGACAGAGTAGAACTGCCCCACAGGATTTCCAAGGAACACCTGGTGGATTCGAACTGACAACTTCGTGGTTAGCAGCCGAGCACTTAACCACTGTGCCACCAGGGCTCCAAGATTTATATACCGGGACTAAAATGACACGTTTTAAATATATTTTTAAGGCCTCCTTCAGATTTTAATTTCTAATAAAGTTTATTCCTTCCCATTATAAAAGTTAATATGTGCTTATTATACAAATAAGTAAGAAGAGAGGAAAAAACCCACATCTACTTTCTAGTTTTCCCTGAATCTAAAGTATATTGCGTATTAGCATAATTACCTCCAATAGCGATCAGTCTATCTCCCCGCTGAAGATCTGCAATTGCAGCAGGTGAGTTTGGGGCCACAGTTTCAATTATGACGTGCCCAGCATACCCGTCAGTTGACTGGACAAGACGAAGTGTAAGTCCAACACTTTGTAAATTCCCCTTTACTAATTCAACCTGGGATCAAGAGGAAAAAAAGAAAACAGATTCAATGGATTCACAGCAGTGGACCAAGACAGCAACAACACAGAAAACACCACAGCTGATGCCGACTTCTGCACCACTGTCACTGTTGTTACAAAGGAGGGAGGAAATCTTTATTGGAACAACATAAATAAACATTCTCAGATTGCACGTGCAGGCCATCAAAAAAAAAAAAATTAAACACTTTCTTATCATCAGTGTGTTTTTTTTAAAGATCCATGCTTGCTGGAGAAAATCTGGAAATAAACAGGCAAAAAGAAAAGAAAACCACTCCTAATCATGCTATCTAGTACTACTGTTAATATTTTGTATTTTTAAATACATATTTTAACACAAAATTGAGATCCCATTGTGAATATAATTCTAAATCTTGCACTTTTCAAATATAATGGGAATAACTGTCCATGTCATTAGATGTGTTCTGGAAACTCCAGGTATTGTTAAATTTTCATTTTTGGCAGGGACAAAAGAGTTTACATTTATGTTTTATTAAGAGTAATCTTGTTAATGAGATCCTCTGTGCTAACTCATCAAGATCATTGTGTTTTCTAATCTAATTTGTCCTCCGATTTATCAGGAATATGTGTCCCAGGTTTATGTCATCTGTGAATTAAAAAAGAAAAAAAAAAAAGGTACTTGTCCTCATTCATTCAAATCACTGATAAAAATGTGGACCAGGCTAGCATGCTACATCCCTTCAGGTGACAAGAATTCAATCAGTGTTTTAGTTCAATTACAAATCAGTCTTACTGTATTATCATCCCGCTCACATTTTAGTCCTTTTCTTCAAGGATATCTCATAAAGGACTTTGCCAAATAACGTTGTTAACATCCAAATATGCAACTGTCTGTATTACTTTCATATACATACCACACTTAAAACTTAGAAATTCAATTTTCCTACCTAATGATGCTGGCTCGTAAAAGAGTCCTTATTGGAAGTTGTTTTTTAATTTGAATGTTAATAACAGGTTTTGCAAAAGTGCTTTTAAATTAAGAAAAATCTTAACCATAGTATGCTCAAGAAATTGGAAATGTGGTCAAGCTTTTGATTACTTACAAGTTTACAAAACTAAAAACAAAAACAACCCCTCCAAAAAACATTTGTGTTTGTTGTTTGTTGCCATTGAGTCGTTTCAAACTCATGATAACCTCACTGCTCCACAGGGTTTTCAAGGCTGTGACATTTCAGGAGCAGATCACCCGGCCTATCTTCTGAGGCACCTCTGCGTTTGAACCACCCACCTTTTGGCTAGTAGTGGAGTGCTTAACCGTTTGCGCCACTCACGAACTCTCCGTTTGTGTTTAAACCTCCAAAAACATTTGTCCTAGTCCTGCCTTACAATAGATAAGAGTAAATAATCACCTTATAATGTTAAGGTGCTTTTCAATTAACAAAGTCCTTAAAAATACATCAAAAATTCCTTAAAAATACATCAAAAATTCATTCAATATACAGAGTGCAAAAACTAAATTCAGAATGTAAACTTTTCTAATTCCTGAAAGCTAAGGGTTGCAAATGGGTAAATAACTAATCTGTATGAGTCTGAGTACTGTAAATTAAAAAAATTAACACCTGGAGTTGGACTGTGTTTTTCTGTGATTTACTCTTTGCTCTTAAAAATGGAGTGGAGGTTGGGGAGATGGGGTTGAGAAGTGAACTGAGGCCAGTATAGGTTTTAATGTAGTTTACTTTCTTAATCTTTTTTTCTGCTGGTAAATCATATTTTATCCTTTGCTTTTCTTACTTCAAACGATCCTTGAAGTATATATATTTTCCAAATGGAAACAGACAAGGTTTTCAGTAGGAATAATTAATAAAGTCAAATGCTAAATTACCTCTCTTTCCCTCCTGTTTTTCCTACTGATTATTAGTAAATGCTCTAATTTCATACTTATACAGAATTTAAGACACTATTTTGTTCTTCTCTTATTAAAAGTTTTTTTTTTTTAAGGTCACAATGCTGACTTACTGTATTTTTACGCAATTAATACGCACCTTCTGCGTTTGTCAGACGTGCCCTCCCCTCGCAAGGTATTTTTGTAAATGCGCTATACTGTTTCTTTTTTTTACAGCAACACGCGGAAGAGGATTGGCATGGCAGGGTCTGTCAGGGTGCCTTGCAGGGGAAGGGTGCGGCCGGCAAACAAACGCAGAAGGCACATGTTATTTGAGTAAAAACATGGTATCTAGTTCCAGAATTACAGTTTCAGCCTCTACTAGACAGAAACTTTTATCATCTTAATTAAGTTTTAATACTGATTAAAATGTTTCAGAGTATAAAAACACCTTTTAATTAAAAAAACTGACAAAACAAAGCATTTAAAATGACTATCATATAAAAACATTTATTTTAATGAAAATTTAAGATAATGTTCAGAAGACCATCAAATGATACCTGACTTTTAGAACCAAACTGACATTACTACTGGGGTAAAACCGTTGTAAAGCGAGAATAGTCACAAAATACACTGCACTATATAATTTTCCCCCATTTATGGATCTGTATTTTTAATAGCGTATTGTTTAGTTTTCATTTCTGGCAGGAACAAAAGAGTTTACATTTATTTTTATTAAGAGTTATCTTGTTAAAGAGATCCTCTGTACTAACTCAAGATCATTTTGTTTTCTGAGCTAATTTGTCATCCAGTTTATCAGGAATATGTATCCCAGATTTACATCATCTATGAATTAAAACAAACAAAAAAACCCAAACACATATTACCAGTATCAAGAATAAAAGAGGGGAATAGCACTACGAGTTCTACAGACTTTAAAAGAACAAGATAGTATTATGAACAACTATATGCCAATACATTTGATAATCTAAGTGAACTAGAAAAATTCTCTTAAAAGAGACACATGATAAAACTGACCCAAAAAGAAACAGAAATTTTGAATTTCTATCTCAATTAAATACGTCAAATTCATAACTTCATGTTTCAATTCCTACGTAAGGAATAACAATCTTATCCAGAATCTTTTAGAAAATAGAACACTTCCCAAATTATATGTTAAGGCCCATGTTAACTAATTCCAAATCCCAGACAAACACAAAAAAGAACTACAGACTAATATCTCTGATGAACACAGATGCAAAATTTCTTAACAAATTTTTAGAAAATTCAATTCAACAATATATAAAAAGGATAAACCATCATAACCAAGTGGCATTGATCCCAGGACTCCAAGGTTGGCTTCACAGCCAGAAATCAGTCAAAGTAATTCACCATATTATCAAAAGAAAGGGAAAAAACCATATAAATAGTTCAACAATTAAAAAAAAAAGCGTTTAACAAAATTCAGTATCCATTAATGATTAAAAACTACCCTTGGCAAATCAGTAATACAGAGGAACTCCCTAAACCTGATTACAGGTTATCTACATAAACCTACATTGAACATAATACTCAAAGGTGAAAGACTCAGTGTTTTCTACCTAAGATCAGGAACAAAGCAAGGATGTCTGCTCTTACCATTTCAATTCAACATTGTACCGGAGGGCACAGTCAATGTAATACGATTTTTTTTTTTTTTTTTTAAAAGGAAGGTATAAAGATTGGAAAGGAAAGAGAAAGTTTAGAAATGAGTACAAATTGTGATGTAACTCTACTGAAATTTGGGATAAGGGGGAATGGGCTACATCCTCATCTGTTATAGCAGAAAGTCAACAGGTTGTCTAAAATTTGATATATTAAGAAATGATGATGTATGCATATTGTCTAGAGAAGAGAAGGTAGCCCCTACACCAATCAGAGTTTAAAAGTGGTTGTTATGGTGTGAGGGTGGGGAGCTTGGGGAGACAAGAGTACTGCTGCTCTTTATTATTTTGTATACTTAATTTTTTTTTACCCACATGCAAGTATTTGATAAAAATTTAAAGGTTTATCCTAATTATTTTTTAGTTTAACAGTAAATAAAAACCTGGGTTACCTTTCATGTGTGTGTTTTTTTTAGACATACTTTTATTCCTGCTTCTTTTAATTATTATATTATCAAATGTTAATTTATTTTATAGGACAAGGCTGAGAAACTAATTTTATAATTATGTGATTAAAAAAGACCTCTCAATAAAAAAGACAAAGATAGTAACTGCAGTGTCAACATTTAGTAAGGCAACAAAACCACCAGTGTTCAAACCCACTAGAAATAATGGGCTCAATCATGACCTGTACTTCCAAAGAGTAGAAATTACACTGATGGCGGTGAAGATCTACTTTTCCACAAAGTTATAAGTTTTTTCCTCATGTTAGAAAGCTTCCTCTATTCAGGAGACTGAAGACATGCGTCATATTTCAGTATAAGCGAAATAAAAAGAAAAGGGAAAAGAAAGAGGAACAGCAGGGAGAAGAAAGTTACATTTCTTACAGCCAAGTAAGAGCAGAGTGAAGAAAAAATGAACAGGGATCAATATTATATTGTTCTCTGGATTGCTGATTGTGAAATCTTTATTAAAAAAGAGAAAAGGGGTGAAGGTAGAGGCAAAATATCTGTGATGATGAATACAAATATAAATTATAGATGGGAGGTGCTTGGTCAAATTTTTAACAATCACCATGTTAACAGTTTTTCCTTTTTCATAGGAAGCCAAGTGGCTGCTTTTAAGTTCACCAAAATCTGGTTGCTCTTCTATTCCAAAAGATAAGCTACAATGATAGAAAAGTTAATACCTATAGAACTTCTCACTCGAAATCTTTGGAGACTGAGAAAGTTTGCTTTGTATATTTCTGCTAGAGAACAAGACAGCCTGGCCCCTTGGTGTCCCAAGTGAGGATCAAGACTTCTGCCCCAGAGGAGGTAATAGTAAATGGGGTCAAAATACCTCTCCCTTCTGAAGCAGTCATCTGCTTACATTCATGAAATTTGTCTGGGAGTATTAGGCCAAACCCTCCAAGTCCCAGTCTGTGGCTATGTAATAAGCTCTCTAAGCTCCAAGGTCCTGAGACTGCTCAGACCACAAGGACCTTACCTT